AGAGAAAAGTAGTGCACAACCATGGAAGTTAGAGGTAAATGTAAAAGCAGTTGGTACATGGCTTGCCACAAGTACCTATCAATAAGTGAAAGCTTTGAAGGCAACAAAATATACAAATGACGTAAGAGTGCTCTTGATTGAAGGATATTCTTTCTCTCTCTCTCTCTCTCTCTTTCTTTCTTGGCGAGGCAACCCTTGATTGACCTCACAGATTGCAAGGACCTTGACAGCTTATAACCCCTTATTATTATATTTATTATTATTTACACCTACAGCACCTGGTCTTCCTAGGTGGTCTCCCATCCAAGTACTAACCAGGCCTTACTCTTAGCTTCCGAGATCAGGTGGGATCGGGCTTCTTCAGGGTAGCATGGCTGTAGACCCACGCACAAATATTAACTCAAGAATATTAAGACCTGAAATCATAAAATACCTAGAAGAAAACATTGGTGATAAGCTCCTTGACCTGAGTCTTGATGATGATTTTTTGGATCTGACTCCAAAAGCAAAGGCAACGAAAGGAAAAATAAACAAGTGGGACTAAATCAAACTAAAAAGCTTCTTCACAGCAAAGGAAACCATTAACGAAATGAAAAGGGAACCTACTGAATGAAAGAAAATATTTGTAAATCATATATCCAATAAGAGATTAATATCCAAAACATCTAAAGAACTCATAGAACTCAATAGCAAATAAATAAATAAATAATCTTATTAAAAAACAGGCAAAGATCTGAATAGAAATTTTTCCAATGAAGACATACAGATGGCCGACAGGTACACAAATAATGCTCACCATCACTAATCATCAGGGAAATGCAAATCAAAACCATAATGAGGTATCACCTCATACCTGTTAGAATGGCTGTAAGCACAAAGACAATAATAAGAGGTCATGAGAATGTGGAAAAAATGAAACCTTTGTGCACTGTTGGTGGGAATGTAAACTGGTACAACCACTATGGAAAAGAGTATGATGGTTCCTCAAACAATTAAAAATAGAACTACCATATGATCCAGCATTGCCAATCTGGGCATTTATCTGAAGAAAATGAAAACACTAATTCAAAAAGATATATGCACCCCATGTTCATTGCAACATTATTTACAATAGTCAAGGTATGAAAATGACCTAAGCCATTCATCAATGGATGAAGGGATAAAGAAAATGTGATATAGATATATAGACATATCTCATTTTATTACACTTTGCAGGTATTGCATTTTTATCAACATTTTGGCAAGACCCTCCACCGGCAAAATGATTACAACTTCCTGAAGACTCAGATGATATTTAGCATATTTTTAGCAATACAGATTTTTTTCCTGCCCCAGAACGTGAGAAATTCAGGGTCAAATAAAAGAAGGTAATTTATATGCTTTAACACATTTCATCAGGGCAATACATAATTTCTCTTATGACATACAAACAAGAGTAGGGATGAAAATATGAAGCAGAAATTATCTGCAAAAATCAGCCCTTCAGCCTATAAAAATGGGGGGAAATGGTAAAAAGTCTTAATATATGATAAATAATATTTTAATTCAGTAGAGAAAGACAAATAGTTTTAATAATTGGTTCTTAATATATGATAAATAATATTTTAATTCAGTAGAGAAAGACAAATAGTTTTAATAATTGGTTCTGACATATTAGCTTTATTTCCAGATAGAAAAAAGCTGACATCCTGTATCACGCCAAATACAATACATATACAATTAATTCTAGGTGGATTAAGATGTTAAATGTGAATGTATATATACTCCCAAAACCACATATATGAAAACTGCAGTTTTTTCCTTTATCCTCTTGCCCTCTGAAATTGTCTATAAGCAAGACCTAAGAAACCAAAACACTGCAAATAATTTTATAGAAATAAGATGAACATAAGAATGTTTATTGAAGCACTACTTTTAAATCGCAAAGAGTTAACAATTTGAAATATCACAATTGGGGAATAGCTGAATAGGTACAGGTAGAAGCATATTGTGAAATACACTGTAACCATTAAATCATCATTTATGGACTTGAAGGGAAATCCAAAATGTACAGACAAATGTAAAAAAGCAAATGACAGAGAACTGTATAAAATATCATTCTTTTTTGTAAAAATATACTATAATTTATTTGTTAATGTTTAAGGACAAAGAACACAAGGTCGAAACATTACTCAGGAAATGTACAGAGGGGAAGGGAGTGGGGAAAGGAGGGGACAGAAATACTGATTTTTAAAAGTTTATTGGCATTGTTTCATTGGTTTGGGTGCAAATGCATGATCTCTGTAATTTTTGATGAGGAATTTAATAAATGACTTAAAGTATACTAACAAAGAATAAGAAACTTCATTTAGCAATTCTCATTTGGACAGTAATGCAAAACATTAGAATGAAGAAGCCTGTTACTAATCGTCCTATTTGCAGATATTTTGCTTACTCTACTTTTCTCAAATTATGAAATATGCCTGTAAAAAATTAAGTAATTCAATGTTAAAAAAAAAAAACAAAAACGAATAAAACCCTCTAACATGATACCTATGAAAAAGGGAGCAAGGAATGAAAGGGCTGACCTATAGTAACTTTGGATATATAGGTTTTCCATCCAGGGTAGAAAGCTCTTTGAGCATGAAAAGTTAGGCACAGGAAAGGTCAATCTCCAAACGCTAACCCAAACCTAAAAAAAAGCTAAACTATGGGACATTTATTTTTTAAATTTCAGGATTTCTTAATCTAGGACTTTTATAAGTCTTCTATACTATAATTGCAGAGCTGAGTAGTTGCTACAGAAATAGTTTGGCTCACAAATAGTATACCCAGCCCTTTATGGAAAACTTGCTGACCCTTGGTCTAGAACACAATACACAATATGTAATTCCAGTGACACATTTGCTGCTAGTGCAAAATTGTGACGGCTTGGCTATTTTTTCTCCTGAGAGTTTGACTTTTTAAATTTTCAGTTGTGTATATGGCTCATGAACGGGATATAAAATATATACAATAGTCATGCACCGCAAGCTTCAGTCATCAACAGACTAAATATACATGAGTGGTATACCATATAGCCTAGATGTGTGGTAGCAATACAAATTGTGTTTGTGTAAGCATACTCATCTGCCCAAACAACGAAATTGCCTAACTACGCATTTCCCAGAACATATTCCTGCTATCAAGTGGTGCGTGACTATCCTATTTAACTCACATAATGCTTAAAATAAAAAATTTCATGTAGAAAATATTAGGGCTGAATCAAGTCCCTTTTTAAAAAAAGAGTATCTTTATACTTGGAGTTTAGCTACTTTATCTCTGGAAATATTTTAGATCTAAAACTGTTTACATCTAAGAAATTCTGGGTAAATTATTTTGTGTGTACTCCTCCCTCCCCCCTTAAATTTGAGGCCCTGGGATTTGCACTATTAAAAACTTCTCCTGCAAGCCTTTTGCACACTCATTGTTCTAGTGTCCAGAATAAAAGTAATCCGTGGGTCACTTGCTACTTGCAGAGTCGATATATCTTCTTTGGTCCTCATGTTTTATCTTAAATCTGAGCTGCCATTTAAAAATCAAGAGTCATCACTGAATAAAAAAGGTAGATTTATGGATTCTCTGAAGTCAGAAAAGCTGGCAAACGGGGCTGACTTAACTCACAGCATCGGTTGGCTGGAACTGGGCACTGGGCATCCTTTCTAGCTACTGTCCCAATCAGGTTCACTTCTATTATTCTTTTGCTACCTACAGTTCCCTTATTTCTTTAGTATGCTCATACATCTCATGGATGATACTGAAAAACGGCTTCCTTGTTTCCTCCTAATGCAATTCTAACATCAAGATTACGTCGGTTTGTTATGACATGCCTACTTCTATATAATAGTTCCTTGCATACCTTAGGTAATGTTTTGCCTAAAAAGAAATTGGGTTTGGTGCTTTGGCAGTTAATAGCTACTATATCTCATGCTAAATTTCCCTTTTCCTTTGTTTGTAAGAGTCTTCCAAGAGTTCTGATTTTGAGTCAACACTGGTACTGTTTGTCTTCCTAAAAAATAATTGTTTAGGTTTTCAAATGTTTTTTATTTAAAAAAACAAAAAAAAAACTACTCAGTATAGCATTTTAAATCAGTAACTATAAGGTTTCCCTATCTTTATATGTATGTGCATATATATTTATCCATTTTTCAAACCTAATGCTATTTGTCTTTTCATACTTTTTCTTCATAAGTTACAAATTTTTTGTTATTATTATATGTAGTAAAAAGATGCCAGTCTGAATAAAGTCCTTCCCACACATTATACACATTATTTTCCCAACACTCAAGATTATTTCATGTTCTATAAGACATGAGAGAAAATTTTCTTAATTCATTACCCTCAATGGGTCTTTCTTCAATTGTATATCTTGCCTGATGTTGAGTAAGGTCTGCAGAAACAATTATATTTCAACAAATACTACTAATGACAATGATGAATATAACAGTGACCAACATTCATTCAGTGATTATTTATTATGACAGGCACAATTCTAAACATTCTGTGTCTCATTTGAGCCTCACACAAAATTATGAGGTATTATAATTATCCCCATTTTATAATTTCTACTGAGACATACATGTATAAAAACAGAAAAATGCTCAGGGTGGATAAATACTAAACAGATAACGACTATCCTTTGGAAAGGGAAATGGGTACAAGAATAGTGGTCAAAGGGTATGTTTGCATTATTTGGAATGTTTAAATCTTTTATAAGGAATCTATATTCATGCATTATCTCTGTAATTAAAAGATACGATACAAAGATATGCCACGGGAGAATGTCCATCAGGACACTGTGTATAATGGCAAACTGTAGAAGAAACTACAGTGTCTATCAATAGGGATTTGATAAAATATTACAGCAACACGAGGAAACACCATAAAGCCAGCCACAAAAAGATCTCTATTTACTGAGTGCAAAGTTGTTTGTGAACGTTTTGACAATAAGAAAGTCTAAATTTTTTAAAGAGCAAAAAGAGTAAGTCATCTTCAAAAATAAAGAGGCCACTTCTCTGTTATTAAAGGTATTTTAAAAATAAAAGTATCTTATAAACCATGATGTAAACAGATGGACTTCATAGTCATATAAATTTAGAATGGATTGAAAAATTAAAAATATTACTACTATAAAGTAGGGGAAAAAATGAAAATCACAGTATTACATTTAAGCACGAATTCTCTGATGTGTAAGGTTAGAAGGGGGTCAAAAAAGTTGCCATTTTCAATATTTGCTAGGTTGAATTAGGTCAAGAGAAATATAAATTTTATTAAAGGGCTTCCAAAATGTATTCTACCCATGGGGTGTTTTTCCTACATTTTTTTACGGGCTAAATAAGCTGTAGTCAACAAACAAGATGTTTCTACATTATTCTATTTAGAGGGATGATCATCAAGATAAATTCTCTGATTTTGAAGTTCTGAGTTGTAGTTAAAAGCCTTCCCACACATTTCGTATATCTATGGTTTATCACCAGTACAAATTTTGATGCTGAATAAGTTGTGAGCCATAATTAAAGGTCTTCTCGCATTCCCTATATTCATAGGGTTTCTCAGCGGTATGAATTCTATGATGACTAATAAGTTGTGAACTCTGAGAATAGGCTTTCCCACATATCTTACATTCATAGGGCTTCTCACCAGTATGAATTCTCTGGTGTCGAGTAAGGTCTGAACCAGAACGAAAAGCCTTTTCACACTCCTTACATTCATAGGGTTTCTCACCTGTATGGATTCTCTGATGTTTAATAAGCTGTGAGCTTTGACTAAAGGCATTACCACACTCCTTACATTCATAGGGTTTCTCCCCCGTGTGAATTCTCTGATGTTGAGTAAAGTTGGAGCCACTACTGAAGGCCTTCCCACATTCTTTACATTCATAGGGCTTCTCACCAGTGTGAATCCTCTGATGTCGAGTGAAGTTGGAGCCACTACTAAAGGCCTTCCCACATTCCTTACATTCATAGGGTTTCTCGCCAGTGTGAATCCTCTGATGTCGAGTAAGGTCTGAGCCACAAATAAAGGTTTTTCCACATTCTTTACATTCGAAGGGTTTCTTGCCAGTGTGAATTTTCTGATGATGACTGAGTCTTGAGGGATGTCTAAAGGCCTTTCCACATTCCTTACATTCATAGGGTTTCTCAATGGTGTGAATTATCTGATGTGCTGTATGCTGTGAGTCACGTCTAAAGGCTTTCCTATATTCCTTATTTGGACAGTATTTCTCTTTATTATGAATGATTTGCTGTAATGTCAAGGGTGGATGCTGACTAAAAGTGGGCACGCCTTCATGGGTGTATATCGGTTGACTGAAATGTCTCTCCTGAGAGCCATGTCGTCTTTCAAACTGGCCATTAGATTTCCAATCATCTCTGAAACTAGAGCACTGAAGGTCATGTCTTGTAAGTCTTCCCATTATCTCCCACTGGGCTGACTCTATTTCAAAAATTTCCTTCTTCAGAAATAATTTCTTGGTCTGACATCTTGATCCCAGGACTGAAAGAAAATATGAAAGTAATCACTCAGATTTTTCTTGTCTGGGAAAAATAAAACTTCAATTAAAATGGAAGAATTAAACTGAGTTTTTAAGAAATGGACTAGAAGAGTGAAGAGAGATCACACAGGAAGATGAAGGCAGTAAGTAAGCCAATAGTTTCCAAACACTGCAGTAAGATCAGAATTACTTAGGGGAGCTCGCTAACTATAAAGATGTCTTAGTCTTACTTCCCTTGTTATAGGATGATTTTAAACACACGAACACACGAACATCACATATAAGAGCACGCCACAGCATGAACTGTAAATTAAGAGAAATGATCATACCCACTTAACAGAGTCGTCAGGATTAAGTGAATATGTCAAAGGGAAAATTCTAAGGGGTTGGCAAACTATGACCTGCAGCACTGCGGCAGTTTTTATAAGTATAGTTTTATGGGAACACCGCCAGAGTTATCCATTTATGTATTGTCTACGGCTGTTTTCAAGCTGCAATGGCAGAAGTGAGTAGTTGCACCAGAGATCACACTGACTGCAAGCCCAAAATATTTACAATCTGACCCTTCAAGAAAAAGTTTGCCAACCCCTGGTTAGATCTGTGTTGTCCATTACAGTAGCCACTAGCGTATGTATCTACTGGAGTTTAACAATTAAAAATAAATAAAAATTCGAATTCAGTTGGCACTATCCACTTTTCCAGTGTTCAAGAGCCAAATATGGCTAGTAGCTACCATACTGGAAATACAGGAAAAATACAGGAGATTTCCATCACTGTCAAAAGTTCTATTCGACAGCAATTGTCTAGATTTAGTAACTGGAGGTCTCTTTAACGAATGATAAAGAAACAGAGGGCGGCAATTCACATGGGAGAATAGCTTAAGAAAAGTCAAATGCTGATTGAATTTAGCATGACTGGTAAACAGGTAGGACTCTTTAGTGGCTAGATATATCTTTAGGGTTTGATGAAAATACTACTTGCTTTGGAATTCTGTGATGCTGACCTCAGGAGAAAAGGACTTAACACACGCACAGGTACTACAGTAGTGCCGACCAACTGACACAAAGGGTATTTGTAGGTTCAGAGAGAAGAAAAGAAAATATAAGGGAGGTGACATATTGAAAGATCATGGAAACGAGAATCGGTTTTGAGTTTTGAACCCAGACTCAGTTTATTACAAGCTTTGTTTTCTTGGGTGGATTAGTTCATCTTCCCGAGCCTCTGATTCTGTCTATACGATAGGAATGATAACTAAATTTCATGATCATTGTGAGGCTTAAGAATATATGAAAAGTATTTGGTATAAAATAACAGTTTAGTATTTTTAAGATATGAAAGAATTTCTATACAAACATAGGGATGTTAGGCAAGTGAAATGCTTTAAAGAACACACTATGGACCCGGAGAGAAACCTCAAGCCAAAGAATTGAAAATCGTTCTAGTACCACCTTTTCTTCCCTTCACATGATTCAGCACATACTACCTAACCTTGCTCTTAAATATATCTTGAAATTCTTTTGTCTTTCCGATCTAACATGAATTCTCTCTCCCTTGGACTACTGGAATAGCCTTCTACCTAGTCTTCCCTCTTGAGGTTTGCAATCTTGAATCCACATCACTAGAACAGCGTTGCCGGCCACTGCTCTGCTTAACATTCTTTAGTAGTTTCCTACGATGTTGCTCTTAAAATAACAGCCAAGCTCCTGAATGTGGTCTCCAAAGCTGTGAACGATCTGGTTCCCGCCCACCTCTTCAACAGAATCACACGCTATACTCCCTTTTGGTTTCTAAACGCCATCCACACTGGCCCTATTTTGCAGTTCTTCAAATGCTCCCAGCCCTTGGTCCTCCCAGAGGCCTTTCCACATATTTTTCTCTATGTCTAGATGTTTTCTTTCATTCTTGTCCTTGATAACTATTGCTCATTTTCCAAATATCTACTTAAAAGTCATGCTTTTTGAAGTCTTCTTTGATCCCATTACCAAATTATACCCTCTTTGTAATTATCCTTTAAGCACTCTGTTCTCTTCCTTAACATTTTCACAGTTTGTAATTACGTATTTATTTAGGTTCATTTAATATCTTTTCCCTCAATAGGTTACGTTCTGTGAAGGCAAGAAAAATGTCTATTGTCTTCATCAATGTGCATTCGACTCAGCACAGTACATCGTATATACTGGAAGACCAACAAATATTTATTGACTGACTCAATGTCTCAAAAGTTCTTCTAGAAAAAAAGGACATACTCTTTTCAAACATGGCACACTGAATATACACAACTGTTACCACTCCTTCATGAAGTCCCGCTAAGTGATAGTATTGAGATTCAATGAAAGAAGAAATTCCATTAGGGTAAAGAGAATGGGAGAGGAAAGTGCAGCAGCAAAATTTTGGAAGCTACAGAGTAGATGATGGAATAGTAATAAAGGATATCTCAACCATAAAAAAAATGAAACCAAAGTCGCAGATTGGTCCTACTGTGTAGAATCCCAGGGATTTCCAGGAATTGCCAACATCACGTACCTGTGAAAGGAGGGTGCATGAGGGGCTCAGACAGCAAGATTAATTGAAAATCCTTACCAGACAAACCTCAGGATCTCCATCCTGCTCCTTATAGTAGTAGGCTGATCCCCCAGCCTGTTACCCCAGTAAATTCTCTGAATCTGGAAGCCAAGCTTATTTACTAATTCCCAGAAAGGGAAGGATTTCATTCTGGAGAAAACAAGCCCAGGAGAGAAGAAAGACCTGATAGGTGGCATCAGCCAATAAACTGTTCTAGGCAGATCACTCTACAGTGACTATCGCCAATAAAGCTACACATCCTTAGACACAAACAAGCTCTAATTGGCTTTTTAATGCCACAGTTTTCTATGTATAGATAGCCTTGAGTCACTGGCTATTTCAGAAAAATCTTAAACATAAGAGATTAAAATAAAGAGGAAAAAAAGAACTCAAGAAAGAGACAGGAAGAAATTTTTTTTAATTAAAAGAATTATTCTAAAAACAACATATAACAATCTCTCAAGAATTAGAACTTAAAATCTCACAGAAAGTAGAGATAAATAAAAGGAGAGATGGAAAATTAAAAAAAAGTTCTAGGACTAAGGCAAAAAATGTAAGATCTGAATCATTCAAAATTTAATGAGCCCTTGCTATGTGTCAGTCACTGGATATAAAAAGTAAATAACGTTTGAAACACAAGGAACAGAGAAAATGATAGGGAACAAATGATTAAGAAAATTTCAGATTTTTAGTTTTCAGAAAAAAAAGTCTCAGTGCGTGCCCAACCAAATGAAAAAATAAAATGAACATCATGATACCTAAACATGAACTATTAGAACATCATAAAAAATAAACTCTAAAGGCTTCCAAAGTGATTAAACGGGTCACAAAAAAGTAAGAACCTAAATGGGTTTTAGACTTCTCAAAAACACTAGATGCTGTTAGATTTTAGAAATCCATGGAGCAATGCCTTCAAAATTTTAAGTTGAGTTTTTCAACCTAAAATTACATCTCCAATCAAACTTGACGGTGAAATGAAAACATATTCAGACATATAAGAATTCACAAAATACATTTTCTATTTACTTCTCTTACACACTTTCCTTGGTTGCTTTTGAAGATATGCTTCAGAATAATGAGGGAATAAATCAAGCAAACGGAAGGCAAGAGCTCCAACATTCAAGGTATATAAGGCATCGATAATACAGATAGTCAAAAGGAATTCAAAAAAAGGCAGTAAAGGGAATCAATGGGATGATCCTAAGGGAATCCACATAATTATAATGAAGGAAAATTCTAAAATCACAGCTATATAACAGTCTCAACTAGGACAAAAGAACAGAGAGTTAGAGGAGGGATGTCTCAATTAAAAACCAAACCACAGTTACCTGCAGTGTCTGAAGAGATAGATTAGTGACAGATAAACAGAAAATTAAAGACCTCTCAATGAAGACAAGGATTAACAGCATGGGGGTAAAAAAAAAAAGGTCACACAAGAAGCAAAATATGACTACATAGCTCAGCAATAAAACCATTTACCTAGTTGTTAAGTGAACTGAAAAATGGCTTAATTTTCAAAATGTGTGATATAATTCTATTTAGAAGATGAGGACAGAGGGTGTATAGTAAGCTATCTCTTCTAATATCACAGTGTAAAGTCAATCACTAAAATTAGAATTCTTGAAGAAAAAATTCTCAGAGAAAGGATAGAAAGTGACACCCTCTGCAAAACAGTGAGTCATGGGAAAGGAAGTAAAATGTAAAATGAGTCCTAGAAATATACGGCGATGATGCAGAACCAACAATAAAACAGATTTCCAGACCTGAAGAGAACTCGTAGTAATCAAATGGTTCCCTTCTGTGCTGAGCAATTTATGATGGAAGAGTTTTACCTAGCTGTATCTTGGTAGAATTTCTGAGGGTCAAAGAAAAAGAGAAAACTCCATAGAACTAAAAGCCTAGATGAATCAGGTCGTATCCTACTCATGTCTGTATGTGGTTGTTGCCCCAACAATTCTCTAAATTTTACATAATTACCAGACTTGAGATAGCAGGAGATTTAATACAGAAATCTGGATTTCTGGCTTTCCTTGAAAGACTGGATTATCTGGCACGACTGGGCCTGCATTCTCACATGACAGCTGTCTCCTGGACTTAACGAATGCTTACCCCTTTGAAACAGGGTATAGCCTCTCTCTCATTAGCCACTATCCCCACTACTGCCTAGTCCCATATGAACCCTTAGGCCAGTGTCTCAGTTGCCACGTATATTTGCAGTATTGCTTTCCTTCTTTTAACCTTCATTCCTGAAGGGTTTTTGCTGGATATAGAATTCTGAGTTGAAAGTTTCTCAGCATGATAAAATATTATTCCACTTTCTTCTAGCCTACATGATTTACGAAATCCATTCATTCAAAATTAGTTTCACTATAAGTAATGCATGATTTTTCAATGGTTCTTTCAACATATCTTTTGACATACATTTTCGCCAATTGATTAC